TTTCTCAACATGTGTGGAAGAATGCCATGAAAGAAAAACTTAAAGCACTTGACAAGAACCATACTTAGGATATTGTTAAGCTTCCTAAAAGTAAAAAAACAGTTGGATGTAGATGGGTTTATAAAATCAAATATAATAGTGATAGGTCTGTTGAGAGACATAAGGCCAGGTTAATAGCCAAAAGATTTACTCAAACTTATGGGGTCGATTATAAAGAGACTTTTGTACCAGTTGCCAAGATGAATATTGTTTGTGTTCTTTTGTCTATCGCAATTAATTGTTGGTGGCCTCTACATCATATGGATGTTGAAAATACCTTCTTATATGGTGACCTTGAAGAAGAAGTCCATGTGAGTCTTCCTCCAAGCCATTCATAAAAAAATGATAAAGGTCTTGTACGCAAATTAAAGAAGGTCTTGTATGAACTTAAACAATCACCACGCGCATGGTACGCCAAACTCAGCTCAGCTTTGAAGAATATCAGGTTTTTTAGAAATTCAGCTGATTCTTCAATGTTTATAAAAAAAGGGACTTCAGCATAACAGTTGTACTCATTTATGTTGCTGATATTATCGTTACAAGTGATGATAAAGAAAAAATCATGCAATTTAAAAATTATCTTTACAATAAATATAACACTAAGGACTTTGGTCAACTAACGTATTTTTTCGGTATTGAAGTAACACATTCAAAAAAGAGACTGTTCATTTCTCAAAGGAAATATATATTAGACATGATGAAAGAAATTGGGAAACTGGGAGTCAAACCCGTTGACACCCCAATTGATATTAATTATAAACTTAATTCAACAAATGGAAAACCTCTTGAAGATGTAGGTTGGTTTCAAAGACTTGTGGGCAAATTGATTTACTTGACTGTCACATGATCAGATATAATGTATGATGTTAGTCTTGTGAGCCAATTTATGCATACTCTTAGATCATATCATATAGAAGTTGTCGATAGAATTCTCAAATATCTTAAGTCGTCACCCGACAGATGTGTTGGGTTGAAACCGAATGATCGTACTAGTATTATTGGTTATTCTGATGCTGACTGGGGTAGGTAGTCCAATTGATAGGAGGTCCACTACCGGCTATTGTACATTGGTTAGAGGAAACTTACTTACTTGGAAAAGCAATAAACAAAATGTAGTTGTATGATCGAGTGCAGAGGCCGAATATATAGCTATGGCTTCAACTACAAGTGAATTGATATGGCTTAAATACGTACTTCGAGATATAGGATTCCCAACAGTCAATCCAATGGAGATATTTTGTGATAATCAAGCAGCTATGCTCCCAATCCAGTTTTTCATGATAGAACCAAGCACATAGAAGATGATTGTCACTTTGTGAAAGAAAAAGTTGAGTAAAAAATTATTAGTACTACTTATGTTCGAAGTGAATACCAACTTGCATATATGTTTACCAAAGCTATTGCAACGACAAAGATCCATCAGATACTGTCCAAGTTTGGCTCTATTATATCTACGCACCAACTTGAGGGGGAGTGTTAGACAGTTATATACTCGTTTACCCTATGTGGAAGCATCATTGTCGAACCACATATATGTGTTGTTGGTTCTTCTCTCTCTCATCACTATTTCTTTTTATTGCAAATTCTACCGGTACTATTGGCAACTATATTTTTAAGGGTAATGGGAACTGCAGGTAATGATTCATTGTAGGATAAGAAAAAGAGAAAGTTAGGGCCTTGATCAGAAATCATTGTTCCAATGCTTGAAATGTATCAAACTAATCAACGCAACCTCGCCATTTAGGCATTATCTACTTTCATTGCCAAATTGCAATCTGTGCCTATTTGAAAATTTCTCACTAATCGAGTAAGAATGTAAGCAACATTTCCTTAATTGTTGGATCAGGCTTGTGCCTCAAGTTCAAGATTCCCCACCATTGCCTCCCGTATCAGTCCGGGCCATTTCTCAGCCCTCCTGGTGCCCATCATATGAAAGGACCAGCTATGCATCCGTGGTGGAGAGACTCTACCTGATTAACTACCTAATACTAAAAACATTTATCAAACTGAAAGTTTGGACTTATGTGATCTAGCACATAGTGTATATATATATATATTTCTCTTTTACTCTTTCTTTTGAGTTAGATCACTTACAAATAGTCCATTACAATAAATTAATTTGAAAGAAATTAAATAAAAACAAGATTAGATCTTAAAGCTTGATGCCATTAAAATCATTCTTTTATTAATCAATCAAAACCACAATACTATTCTTAAAAATAATATAAGATGAAAACAATAAGTATGACAAGAAACAATAAATAGGATGTCGAAGATTACCTCAACTGGATTTAATACACCGTACACCGAGTTACCATCTCCAATAGCGTAGGATCAATGGTCAACCTCAATCTTTAAGATGGGAAAGCATATGGGTCAAACATCCAATGGAACAAGTACTCTTTACAAGGTTTAGATCTCAAACTAAGGTTTACCCTTGATCATCTAGATGAAAGAGATAGCTTCTCAATACTAAACCCTTAACCCATAGTTAGGAGAGATAGAAGATAGAAGAGAGAGAAAACATCTACTATGTGGGGTGTGCCCCTTAGGCATGCCCTTTCTTATGATATGAGAGAGTGAGAACTTAATTACTTGGGGTGTACCTCCTATAGGATGAGAGAGAGAGAGAGCTTCTATGTGGGGTATGCCCCTCTAGTAGAGATGTGGGAGAGAGATGAAAGAGGTGCATGTTAGAATGGGTAGAAGGTACCCCGTTATATAGTATGTCAATAGGGTTAGGATTTCTATATGGTTTGCCTCTTTAATGAGATTGAATTTGCATCATTGACTATGTGAGTCATCTATTCCATAAATTAGTCATCAAGATCTTATGGAAGGTGCTAGTACATTTATCCTCTATTTCCTAAACCAATTTTCTATCAATTAAATTAAATATGAAAATATCAAATTATAATATTGTGCTTTTTATACTCATGCACAAGCCTCTTCGTACTTTCCTTATTTGATTTCAAAACCTCTATAAATCAAAATTTTTCAAAACACAATTCCTTAAGCCTCAAGTCATCTTTGACTTGAGCACAAAATTTAGAAAGTAGAAAGGGGTGGGCTACGCCACCCAAGCTGGACTTCCATGGGCCCCACCAACTTGCTATGGTGGGGCCAAGTGCATTAATGGGTCCCCATATAATAATAGATATTAAAAAAAAAAATACATGATTTTTAGAAATTATAAATTTCATTTGAATATTTAAAACAATGATAATTCAATATCTCTTGTTTTATAAATCCAAATTATATAAATAAAATACTTATAGATTAGAAAAATTCAAACAATAATTCTAAAAATCAAATAACATTAAAATAAATATAATTAAATACTTTTTATGGGAATTTGATCCAAATGGTCTAAGAATAATTAAAACTCTGGAGCACTTCAGCTTCTACTGCGGACCATAATCCACACTTGCTTTCTCAAACTAACCTAGTGGTTCCCATGACTAACAGCCTATCGCAGGGGCTCTTATTGGGCCACCAAACTTAGATAACAGCCAAGGGGATGCAAACTCAATCTGTGGATTTTAAGTTCTACCCTAGAGACGAACCAAGGTCATCTCGATCTGATGCGACCACAATTATATGGTGCATAGGGGTAATCTCTCGCACATGCACATGCTTCACCCTGAAAGATAGTTCGCTTTTCTGATAAGACAATTGTATGTACATGCTATGTGATGGTACACGGATGAGGCTTTTGCCCCTGTCTTTGAAGGCCACCATCACACACAAGAACCACACAAATGGCTCACTCATCTGAGCATACTCCGACTTAATAACCCTTATTGATTTAATCTCTATGCCCAAATAACATTGGTTTTTCTCAACCGACTAGCATAACATGTCAAGCACAGTCCCATATTAACAAACATCATTCCACACTCCTATTGAATTCAAGTTCCATTATATCAAATATTTAATTAGAAGCACTTATAAACCTTTAATGGCCCCACACCCAATACAAACATCGTTTTCTAATTTTCCCAAACCCATGATATGACACATCAATAGAAAATTTGATCTCACGGCACCATCATGTATAAATAAGCATGCATCACCACTAGTGCTTAACTCCAGCACTGGTAAAGCACAAGAGAAGCAAAGAGATAGTTTTTATTCTTGAAAATTAATAAGAGCAAGGAAAGCGGAGGCCACAAATGCTATCAGATTGTGTACGTTTTAGTACGATATTAAGCCTCTAGGTTCAACTGTTCAAATCATAATTGAAAATGTCACAATTTTTTCAATTTGACAAATGATGACAAATAGCCAGCATATGTGGTTACTCAATTGCAATATCGAGATGATCCGTCCAAAGCCCCTCCCCTCATATAGTAGCTTAAAATACCCTCCTTTTATTTTATTTTTGGTAAGTCAAAGTAGCTAGTCAGTGGGGATTTGGGCCCCTATCTTTTGGTGAGAATGGAGTCTAAAACCTCACCATAAAATATCCCCTTGCTAACTTCGGGAAAAAAAAACTCACTCCTAGCATGCAAAATCATGACACGCACATTCTAGTGAACCAAAACTTCACTCCTGGCATGCAAATTCATAACTCGCACATTCCAGTGAACCAAAACTTTCTATGTTGATCTTAACCACCATAATGATGAATCTGATACAAATAAATGAAATCTTAACGTGGTCCATCTTGTACACTCTTTTTTTTTTTGACATCTTCATTTCAATTCTTCAAAGATGATCAAATCTATATTTTTGGAGGTCCAAATTCATGGATCTGAGGTGGAAATGGATTGGCAATGTTTTAAGATGTGTTTCGAGTCACAAAACCCTTGAAGCCTAGAGTTGACGTGATTTCGTGTGCTCAACAAAAACTATTCTTTTTCTAATATGCAATCAAATGGAAAATGGTATATGGTACTCCAAGGTTGCAGCATTATATAAACTTTTTCCTTACTATGTGTGTTTGCACAAGTCTGAAAAGAGCTCACCTTATTTGTTAATTTCTCATTCCCTATTATTTTTCTCTTCATAACCTTCATTTCGTATAAAAGAGAGAGAGAGAGAGAGAGAGAGAGAGAGATCATTCCATCATAGTGGGAGATCAGCTCTGCCATTGGGTCCTTGAAAAGAAATCTTCCAAATCAGTCTCGACCATTACAACACCAAACTTCTGGCAGAATACCCCTTTTATCAACTCCTCTACATTTGAATGAACATTTTCCTCATTCATTCCAATGAACATGTCAAGGTTGTTCACGGTTCCATCTGCACGTCATGAGAATAATTTCAGAAACATTACTTCAAGAGTACTTTCCCTACACATATGACGCACTTGCACTTCATTCCATCCAAAGGCCACTGACCAGTTAATAATGCATCAACATTTCATTCCAAACCCAATGTCTAACATGGGAAGAGAGAACGGTATTGTCAAGTGTTTACCATATTCTTGCTATGTGTAGAGATTTACGTTTAATTTGTCAGTCCTAATAAAGTACAACATTGCATATTTGAACCACTTAAAAGTCAGCTGTCTAAAGTCCGAACAAGTTTTCGAATACCAAATAAGCAATGCTTTTAAGACTTCTATTCAAAGTTTGCCATCATAATAATACCTATGAAGTTAGTTATATTTGAATAAGGATGTTTGCTTTTCTAAAGCCAAGAAGTGCACAAGCTTCAACTCTCAAGTGAGCACTATCCTTTCTCACTACATGGTTCTACATACTTTTTACACAAGATTATCTTCTGTTCACAATCTGTATCCATGTCCAAAATATTTAAAATTACTACGTAGTTCAACTCCTTAATTCAAAGAACTATATATGCCTGAAGCTACAAACAAGTTTACCACACTACTTTACTGTCCTTTTTGAATGTCCACACAGATAAGGTGTACATGTACAGATGGTATCTATTATCTGGCTATTGGTAACCTAGTCCTAAAACAAATTAGAAAAAAAAGCTCTCTGCACAACAATATAACAAAGGATATACTTTCATTTTGACGCATAAACATAATACCTTTGGCAATAATTGGCTGATATAAGGGAGGACTAGAAATCCAGTTCCCTTGGTTATCCTTCATGTGCCTTCTATCAGATGCAAAACTCCGAAGGTAAATTGGAGCATGCACAACTCGGAAAAGCCTGCACATAAAGAACCTTTGACACTAATGCAAAATTTCTTTAAAGAAAATAGAAACTCACGCTAGGTGGTGGAAATTGAATGGTGTAAGGACATGGGATATGCACTCATGTAATCACACGCATGTGTTGGAGCACACACACACATATATGATTATGTATGTATGCATGACTGTTATAAAGACGCTAAATTATGATAAACCTGCTAATGATGCGTTCATACACATAAACAAATATGTAATTATGCAAGTATGCATGTATATAATAAAGATGCTGATCTATAGAAAACCTGCCAACGATGTATTGGTATCTGTCCTCACAAGTTTCCTCAGTGAGAACATCAAGGAAATTTTTGTTTCTGAATGTAAATATCATCTTAATCTCTTCATGGAAGCATTCCTTCCCTATTAAATGGCAATGCCATTCTAGTGTCTTGTGCAAGCCTGATGTACACACCTCACTTGGAAAGTTGCAGGAAGACAAAATAAATTTAAGTACAAAATCTTAGCAAAGAATGACTATAGCTGCCATTGGTTGGTGGTGTGAAGAAGAGAACTGAACCCCATTTCTTATCATATGTTTTTTGAGAGATTTTCTTATTGCATTAGACACATGGATTACTTAAAAACCTTTGAAAACAAGGTATTTGGATACTTCTAAATCTTCACCCATGTCATATTCCTCCAATGTGGAGATTGACCAAAAGGTGAAGCCATCTGAAATATGTGAGATACCTTGTGGTTATATCACGTCAACTTCCATTCCTTTCCCTGACATACCAAAGAGTCAAGGACTATCCTATCCTTGCACTTACACCTAACAAATGTTGGGTGAGTGTGACCATTAAAGGCCTTATGAGTGTGATCCCTTATGGACCATACTAAGCAAATAATGTTTGCTGATACTAGACTGTACTTGATGTGCTAGGTCAATCTGGTTGGGGAAAACCCATATTTCCTGAGCTCTGAGAATCGTACCGATGAGGGTTATATGGGTTATCACTTGATGAAGTCAGAGTATGCTTGGATGAGTGAGTCAAGGAACTATGTGACCCTTGTGTGTAATGGAGGCCTTAAGGGACAGGGCCAAATCCTCATCATTTGTTCCATCATACGGAATGCACATCGATAACTGTTTTCGGGAAGGCGTACCACCTACCAGGATAAAGCGTGTGCATATGCGAGAGATACCCCATGTACATCATCGAATCATGTATTGCATCAAGGTCAAGATGTCCTTGCCGTTTCGTCTCTGGGGGGGACCTAAAATCCATATATTGGGACTACGACTCCTTGCCCATTGGCTAGACTTTGGTGACCCACTAATGATCCCTTGCATAGACTGGGGGTCATGGGCAATGCTGAGTCGGTTTGAGAAAGCATGTGTGGTTCGTAATTCGCAGTTGGACATAGAGTGCCCCAGTTGATATTTATTCCTAGACCATATGGATCATTTTCTCATCAAGATTTATTAATTTTATTTATATTTTATTACATTTTATTTTTAGAATTGTCGTTTAAATTTTTCTAAATCTCTGGATATTTTATTTATCAAATTTGGATTTATAAAAACAGAGATATTGATTTTATAATGATTTAAATATTAACATAATGATTTTGTGTATTTCTAAAATTATAAAAATAACTTAAATTGCATGGGAGGCCCAATAGGCCTTTTGGGCCCACCATTGCATATTGGGTGGGGCCCATTATGTGCCACCATGGGTGGCATGCCCCACCTATAGCACCTTCTAATTTTTGTGATCAAGCTTGGCGGCTTGAGAGATAACAAAGTATTGATTTTAGAAAGTTTGACACCTTGAATAATATTTGATTAATATTTTGGAATGTGTGAGAGGCTTATGAATAAAAATAAGAAAGGATAATATTATAACATGTTAATTTCTTATTTATATTAATTGATGGGAAAATGGTTTAGGAAGTGGGGGATAACTGTGTAGCACCTTCTATAGGATGTTGATGGCCCATCTATGGAATGGAGAACTCAAATCTCTCACCCCACAAGTCACTCAATATCAATGGTTCATATTCAATCTCATATGATTGGCAAGCCAAGGAAAACCCTAAGAAACCCTAATTCTATTCAAGCATTATAAAAAAGGGATTGATCCTTACCCAAATCTTTGCACCATATCTCTTATACCAAATTTTCTATCTCTCTCTCTCTCTCATCCATCTAGGGGGTACGCCGCACTCTAGAAAGTCTCTCTCTCTCATCTTGGAAACCTCTCTCTCTCTCAAGAAAGCCTAGAGGGGCACGCCTCACTCTCTCCACCACATTGTGAAAAGGGACAAAGGGTTTAGGCTATGGAGTTCTTCTCTCTCCCATCTCTCAACTATGGATTTATGGCTAAGGGTTTTAGAAAGTAGCAAAAAGAGAATCCATCTCTCTCAAACTAGGTTGCTAAGGGGATTCACCTAGGGTTTGAGTTTGTGATCAAAGGTGTTCATGTTCCATTGGTGTGGCTTGTCCAAACTTGTTTTTCCGGTTGAGATTGAAGGTTGACCATTCGATCCCGCGCCATCGGAAGGTGGTGACTCGGTGTGGGGCGTAAGAAGCCCGGTTGAGGTAATCTCCGGCACCCTCTTTTGTTTCTTTCATATTTATTGATTATATCTTTTATTCCCAAGCATAGGTTGTGTATTTTCTTTTGTTAATGAAAAGAATGGCTTGAATGGCTTCAAGTTCTATCCTATTGTATTCTTTTCTTTTATTTTATTTGAAGTTGTTATATTGTAAAAGGCCTTCTTGTGAGTGATTTAGACCGTGGAAAAAAAAAAAGAATTGAAAAAGAAAAGGAAATTATTATATACTCGAGCTAGATCACACATGAACAAATTGGACTGGAAAACATCTTTGCACTCTATTCTACCAGGGTTCTACAATACTACCACTAGCAAACTAAAATAATCTGATGAAATGTTCATTTTTCTGAAAACTAATTTCCAATTTTTTTTTAGTCGAGATTAATTTCCAATAGTTGACCATCTGCCCTTGACATCTTTGGATTCGATAGAATACATACACCACATGAATTATCATTCTCTTTCAACATGGTTGAACACCATCCTCTCTACACCTCACTACTATTCAATCTAGTTTCATTCTCCACTGTGTAATGTCAATTGCGCTCCCTTCTTTCTCTGGCTATAGTTGACAACCGAACCATTCTCCTCCCTAATAGACCTCTTAATTTTTTATCAGCACTATTGATATCAATGAACAAGAACAAGAATGAAAAGATGCTATCATTTATCAAAGCTCCCCCATCAAAACTGCATAGAAATGTTAAACTTGCAAAACCAAATGTCTAATATTATAGGATTCCTCATATGATACACATAAATTGCTCAAAAATCTTATTAAATGCTTTTATTCATAAAGAGACTTCCAAATTTATTTAGCATGAGCAATAACAATTTAAAAAAATAAATTACCTGCGAAATTTGGGGTTCAGTGGGAACAATGGGCGAATAGCTTCATTAATATATCGACTCAAAGTCACCGGAAATGGTAGCTTTGAATCCAAATCCCACACCTGAATCGAATCACTGTCTTCACCACTTCTCTGTAAATACGATGGACTTAGTCAATTGATCAATGAACTAAATGAGTCAAATATGAAGAAATCCCTCCAGGGTATTGATTACAATTGCCTGCAGGAGGAATTCGTGATCAATCACCATCTTTCAAAACCAACAGCTAGAAAGTAGAAGTCTGACTATCTATATTGTTCACCTGAACACATATGACATGGTAATCCCACACTACCAGTCCATCTGCTCCTTTACCAGACTTTTGACACCAAAATGGAACCTGAGTAAAATCAAAGGAAGAACCAAATAACTACACATAATCAGTAATAAAATTTGAAAAGGAACCCCAAATATTCTTATATCATGAAATGAAAGCATCCCTGAATGTATGGCACAAAATAAATAACAAATCTAAGTGCACTATGTGTTTATGCATAAGCGTTTAGTGCTCTAAAAGTCTGTACATGCTGGTTTCAAATGACAAGCCCAGTAAAAAGTACTAAATCAAGTGACAAAGTCCAAAAATAAAACATGACATGTTCTATTGAAAGCTAGCATGCATAATTTTTGTAATGTAACCGGAAATGAGATATTATTTGGATAAATATGTATTCCAACAATTTTAGGCCATGTGCAATGCCTGTAAGGGAAACATTCATGACACTTTAGTGATCAACATCATTCTTCATTTTAAGCACGATTCCTGATAGACTCGTATTTTCTGGTAAGCTTACTAAGTAAAACGAATACTTAATGCTATGGATTTGAGTATGCACTTGTCACACATCTGATGTCTCCATGATGCTCGAAGCTTACATGGATTGAATTTATGAGCAGCACATACACATGATCATAATGCTTCAAACAAATCAGATAATTTTTTTCGTAATCAGAATAATGTGAAATGGATATAGCACACCTGCCTATCAGCATTAGAAATAAACACGACGAAAAGGTCACGTCCTTCTGAATCAGCGACCTTGGCTTTCCATAACTCCTTGCAAAGAAAGTAGACGTTCTCCTCGCTGCACCAAGGGATGTCTATTTCAGGCACATGCTTCTTTGTTCATTGAAAACACATAATATATTCAAATAATCTCCCTAATTCATGTATTTCACAACACTTAGCAGACAGAATATGCCGCAATGATGAAATTACACAAAATTGAATGACAAAAATACCTAGAGATCGCTGAAAATGGCACATATCCATTAAGAAGCTGTTTTCCAAATTTCTACAACAAGATGCAGAATGGAGAAAATGTTCAAACATGAAAATTGAAAACCCCACATTAGATTTTGATCAACCACTATGAAAATATAGTATTGTTTTCTGAACTCCAATTTGAATTACCTTAATCTATCAGAGCATTGCAAAGAGAGAGAGAGAGAGAGAGAGATTACCAGTAACAGGGAGTGTAGACGGATGGGACATGGGGCAGTGTAGACGAGGAAGTGACAAGTAAGTCCTCCATGCCAAGAAGCATAATTAAATGTAGGTCACAGAAAGGAATTGGGGATTTTCGCTTCCAGAAACCCCCTACTAATTGTGTGGTGTTTTAGGAGATGGAAAGACAGTTCTGAGTGCTGCATAACAAAGCGTCAGCACAAATTCGAGGGAACCCTGCTGGGTTCCACACCATTTCCTTTCTGCCTCCGCTTTACCTCCTGTAGAGGCATCCGGTCGCATTGGGTCCGGAAATGGACTCAGTCCCGACCCGGGATCTGCTGGCTATACCTGATACATGTTCCGATATGGGTCCAATATTTGGACCCGGCGGTCCGAACACTATTCGAGCCCAAATCTGGTTGGACCCGACTCGTGCTCCTGAATTATTGAAGATAAAATACTGGGGAAATTATAAAAAAGAACCTAGACGGCACTTTCTATGAAAGTTACCCCTCATCTAATTTTTTCTCATTTTTTTTTATTTTTACGTAAATACCCCTACATAAAAATAAAAAAACCTAAACTACCCTCCTTTTTACTTGATCCTTAACCTAATTTTTTAACCGATATTTCCCTCTCTCTCTTGTTTTTTTAACCATAGTTTGCCACACTCTCTCTCCTTAACCTAATTTTTTGACCGATGTTTCCCTCTCTCTCTTGTTTTTTTAACCATAGTTTCCCACTCTCTCTTTCCCCTAACTCTCGGCCCGAGCTTTTTCCCTCTTTCTCGCTCTCTCTCGGCCCAAGCTCTCTCCCTCTCTCTTTTCAAAAGACTGAAGGACCACCCTCTCTCACTCTTTGAAATGGCTCGGGCTCTCAATTTTTTTACCCCAACCCAAGCCCTCAAAGCCCGAGCTCGATTTTTAGCTCAATCTCTCAACCTCATCAAAGATATAGAAGAGTTTTTTAACTATTTTTTATTAAATAAATATATAGCAGATTTATGGAATAAAATCGTTAAAATGTATTGTTGGGTTATTGTTTGTTGAAATTTGTTGTATTTGATTTATCATTGAATATGAAGGGATGGTTTGCTCATAGCTTGAGAATTATTGAAGTTTTTCTTATGAATTCGTTATGGAGTTTGGCTTTTTTTCTCTATTGTCATTTTAGGGCTAGAATGATCCTGGTGGTAGGAAATTTTGGGTGTTTTTTAGATTGAAAATCATTCAGTCGTTTGATCTAAATTGATTGTTCATGGCTTAAGAATTATTGAAATTTTCCTTTTGAATTTGTTATGAAGTTTGGCTTTTTTTCTCTATTGTCAATTGTCATTTTAGGGGTGGAATGTTCTTGGTGGTAGAAAATTTTGGAGTTTTTTTAGAGATAAACTCGACGACTTAGGGCAAACCTAGCCTGACACTAGGGGTAAAAACCTAGCTAAGACTAAACTGGAACCTAGACTTACTAGACTCAATAGATTTTGGTTAAGACCCTGAACTAGGGTGAGCCTAGTCTAGATCTAGAGGCAACTCTTAAGCTTAGAACTATGCTAGAACCTAGACTAAGATCCAGACTAGATGGTGCACGAGTCTCGGCTCGGACCAAGAATGGGTCTAGGTTTGGATGGATAAAAAACCCTAATGTATTTTTTTTATTTTTTATCTTTTTAATTTTAATGAAACATAGTTAAACTAAGCATGGTGAAAGCAGTGAAAATATGATTTTAGTCAAAATTAACAAACTAAAATAAAATCAAAAGGGCATAAACAGAACATATCTATTTGAAGCAAAATATATATTTTCTTTTTATATTCTTAAGAAATTTATTTTAAGTAAAAAGTTGGGGAACAGGGAGCCAAAAGTACCTAAAATGGTCCTGTGGGCTCCCAGAATTTTTCTGGGACACTTGCAATTGGGCGACACGGGTGGTGTCGCCCAGGCGGCACTAGTGGTGTCGCCCTTGCAAGGTGAGCGACACCAGTCGTGTCGCCCAAAACATTATTACTATTATTTATGTATATTTTGATCTTGCTAATATTTATTAAATAAGGCTACTTTAAACTTGGAAGAAGTAGAAAATAAAAACATTTATGATGAAATAAATTAAAATAAAGTAAAATAGAAAAACCTAGATTGAACTGAAAAATATTTTTTTCGTATTTGTAAAAATTTAATTTTGATCTCAATTTTTTTGTGCAGTCATAAAAGAGTCCTTAAAATAGATCCATAAAGTTCCAGACATTTCTAAGACCTTTTGAATTTGGGTGACACCGGGAGTGTTGCCCAAAAAAAGCAGGGTTTCGGAGCACCGAAACTCTGGATTCTGGTCACATCCGACTTTTGGGACCTTTTGTGACTGAAAATAGTGAAAAAAAGTGAATAAAAATTGTATTTTGAAGCTCAGATCAAGCTTGAAATAGCCCCATGGTGGGCGCCAATACGATGAAAATCTGACAAATCTTTCGATGAAGATCTCTTGAATTTTAACACATTAAACTAATTAAAAAGTTGTAAATAAAGTGGTAGAGAAAGTGGAACAGATCGAATTTAGATCTGAGGTCAGATTTTCTTGGAAACGAGCAGATCTACCCTCAAATCTGTGGCAAAGCCAGCATGATCCACAGCATTAAAATACGATTTTTAAGACAAGTTAATAGATCAAAAATAAATAAAATAAGTAAAACAGTAAAAAGAAGAAGAAAGAAAGAGGAAGAAATAATACCAAACCGGGCCAGATGGCCCAAGATTCCCGAGCCTTCAAGGGCTCGCCCTTATCAGAACCGATCCTCTTTGCCTCTCTGATTCGGATGTTGCCCAGCAGATCTCTGGTGTAAAGGGTTAGGGTTTTTGTGCCCTAGGTCTAGATTTTCTCAGTATTTGAGGTTGGAACTGCATGACGCTAGGGTTTCTATCTTTGCTAAGCTTTTAAATCTAGAAATTTTTCTTAAGTTGTCGGTCTTTTTGGGTCTAGAGGAGAATTTTTTTAGTTTTCTAAGGGTTTTGTGACTTTCAGAAGTTGAATATAATTTTGAGATTTTCTCTAATTGTTTGGGACTTTTGGGGATTTTTCCTAAATTTTTAGGAATTTTCCAAGGGTTTTTCTTATTTTTTGTATTTTTGGGTAATTTTCCTACTTTCGAGAATTTCTAATGTTTTAGTCTCTTTTTCTCTCTCCTTTTGGGTTAGGGAGAGGAGATATTTATAAGATGCACTTGGTGATTTTTTCTAAATTTTTTGGAGTTTTTTCAAAAAAATTTGGATTTATCTTGAATTGTTAGCCTTATCTAATTAAAAAAAATGCCTTTACTGCATCATCAGATATATTGACTGCATCATCTGCCCGCGTTTGGGCCTGTCGTTACAGCTCAACCCACCGCCCGACAGTTGGGTCTCACAGGGACTAAATTATTATTTGTTCTATCTTTTTATCCGTAGGTCCAATTCAAGCGATTCTTAGACCGTTGGAAAGCTCTTGGGCTCTACTTCAAATTGAGATAGGATTTGGGTAGTTTTGGGATAATTAAATTGGGTCTAATAGGATAATGTAGTCCTAAGGGTTCAGAAAATCATAGAATTTGTCAGATTTAAAATGGGGTGTCTACAACAATATTACAATTTCTTTGGCTTCTTACTTTTTGCTTTTTTTACAGTGTTGGATCTATGAGGATTTTTGAGCCCTAGCCACCAAGCCTACATTGTGAACAACCCAAGAATGCCTAGAGCTTGCATGTGGAAGAAACAACCGCACCACAAAGGCATCTCATTTGATAATATCTCATTTGATATAGTTAGTGGTTGGCTTGTGTACTTATATTCTAGTAGATAATCAACCTAGGAATGCCTTAGCTTGTGTGCTTATTTAATATGCCATGTTTTTTTTGTAGGAGACATGACAACCATATGAGGAGTTACATGAAATTGCAGAGTACTTTATGTGCTAATCATACCTCATAAGTTTCAACATTGCAGGGTACTTTATACCCGATCGCTTACTGCAAAAATTTGGGAAGGTGTAAGGGATTCCTTTTACGCCACTCAAGTGGGATAAGAGGAAGAAGGTCGGTATACACCCAAAAAATTGGAATGAAGAGTTGAGCATGCAGATAAAAGATTGGAAGCAACGAGAACGTAATGTTGTCAAGGTAGCCCTAGATAAATTTAGTGGTGTACCTACATAAGAGTACATGGACTGATACAACATGTTTATGCAAAGATTTAGAAAAACCCCCATGCGCCCCCCTGTCTAAGATGCAATCCCATGTACAATCCTCCACAAGCCATGATGATGATATGAGAGTGGTATATTATTTATTATATTTATTTTATTATTTTATTGTCTTAATATATCTAAAAATTATGAAAAATAAAACTAAATGTCAATTTTGTTTTTTTATTGACTACTTGCAACGACGTACCTGTATGGAGATGACACAAGCTGCACTTAATGGTGAAGTATTAGCCGGGGAATCCAGGCGTTATGTATAGGTGGCTCATGATCTACTATTGAGTAATACTTCTATAGAGACAGGTGCCGAGGAAACAGCACAAACTAGGGGTGAAGAAGTAGAAAGTGAAAGTGAAGAGGACAATGATAGTGGAAGCAAAGAAGACGACGATGATGAAAAAGAGGATGATGATGAAGAAGATGACATTGAAAGCCACGATGAAAATGAGAGAAGAATAAAACAAAAAGCTGATCACTTTCAAGCGTCGACGTTGCAAGATGAATCAATGTGGAATTTGCGTTCGCGAAGAGATGAGAATACTTATGAGGGAAGGATTATGGGAATGCTTAGGTTGAGGCGGAGATACTTTTTTTTTTAGTTTGACATGTATGTTTGAAACTGATGTTAAGTGAAGAAAATGGTTGATGTTGATTTTGATGTTGAGTTTGATATTTTTTTAAAAGAAAATAGTTCAAAGATAGTTAGATATGTATGTTCTTTGTCTTTCTTAATGATGATAGTATTTCTTAAAAACGAAATGGTTCCTAGCATAGTGCAAGTTACTCAAATCAGACATCCATTTTTTGTACCTATCAACAGACAATAGAGAGAGCCTTTATCCCATTTTCAAGCCTTTCTTATTCCTCTTCTAAGCACTTGTATGAATATAGTATATGGTCCCTTTAAGATACACATTACATAATATAATATTTTATTCTTTCTTGATTTTTAAGTCTTATGGATATGCCTTGACTGAGTTCAAATCGAGTGATATGATCATATTTAAACAATTTGCAGCCCTTGTCAAGTCCCCATCGAGTTTTGAGTTTCATATAGATATCATTACTTATGGTGCTTAACAATAAAAATGGAGGGTTATTATATGCTTCAATTGTACTCGTATATAGGTTTTTCTTTGATTGACATACCAATCTAGGATAAATTGTTATGATTAAATATTTTCCTTCTTTAAATAGAAATGATGAAGAAGTTGGAATGTGAAAAATAAGCAGTCATTTCATTGTGTCACCACTTAAAAACAGTGTCACCACTGGGTGGTCCAGTAGTTGCAAAGGGCGGTCCTGCAGTACATGTTTTGGAGTCACCGCGCTCCGACAGTTGCAAAGCACGGTCCGGCAGTACATGTTTTGTAGTCACAGCGCTCCGGTAGTATCAAAGCGTGGTCCGACAGTACATCGTCTAGGCACTCCGGCAGTTTCAAAGGGCGGCCGACAGTACATGTTATGGAGTCACAACGATCCGGCAGTT